AGATATCTAAAACATGTACTCTTATTAATGACTTGATCACCCAAAGTCACAATCCCTCACTATGTCTATTAATACTAAAATTACACTCCGTATATTCAGTTTTAGATATACTCAAGTGAAAACCTTTAGACTCTAAGGTTGACCTCCATAATTCAGGTTTACCTTCAACTCCCTCTCTAGTCTTATCAACAAGAAGAATATCATCAGCAAAAAATATGCATCAAGGTACATCATATTGCAAATGTCTAGTGAGAACATCCATGACTAAAGCAAAATAATATGGGCTTAAGGTTGATCCTTGATGTAATCCAATCGAAATAGGAAAATACTTGGTCAAACAACCTTGTCTTTGAACACAAGTAATAGCTCCCACATACATATCTTTAATGATTTGAATATAAACGTTATTAACTCCTTTCTTTTCAAGAACTCTGCATAGCACTTTTTATGGAACTTTATCATATGTTTTTTTATAAATTGATAAATATCATATGTAGGTCTTCCTTATTCTCTCTATATTTCTCCATCAAACCTCTCAATAAATGAATGATTTCCATAGTAGACCTACCCGCATGAATCTTAATTGATTTTGAGAAACATTAGCATCATGCCGCAACCTACGCTCCATAACTCGCTCCCATAGTTTTAAAGTATGGCACATCAACTTAATTCCTTTATAATTCACACAATCTTGTGCATCACCTTTATTCTAAAACATAGGAATTAACACACATTCTTCACTCATCTGACATCTTTTTAATCTTTAAAACATTATTAAAAAGTTTAGTAAGCCAAGAGATTTCTTCATCTCCTAAGCATTTCCACACCTCTATTCGAATATCATCAGGTTCAATAGCTTTTTCACACGTCATTTTCTGTAAAGCTTCTCTAACTCCAGTTTTATTTATACGACAACAAAATAAATAAAAAAATATTTTATTTTAGGATGCCAAGGTCACTAAAATCAATCGTATTTTCACATTCTTCATTAAAAAGTTTAGCAAAATATATCATCCACCTTTGTTGAATATCATCTTCTAAGAAAAGTACTTTTTGATCTTTATCCTTAATACACTTCACTTGATGGATATGGATGTTTTATTATAAATCTTTAAAAAAAGAAATCTCTATTTTAAAAGTATTTTTAAATATAACACGTGATGTTGGAGAAGAAAATGCACTTCAAATCAAGTCCTAGTGCCTTAGCCAGATTTGATTTGTGTTTATTTTTTGCATCATCTTCTTTGATGTGAGGTATATAGATTGGAAACCTCGAGTTGCGGGGCTACGTGTCCTAAGGAGATTTTGGTTCTCGTGTCTGTTGTGACAACGCTACGTACCTCACAAGTTAAGGCAGAAAGGTCCAAAGATTTGCACAAGTTGTTTATTTTTAGAAATTGAAAGCCACCTGTAGGAGGTCAATCCAACTCTTTAGCCACCTAAGTGTCAAATCGTAGGTCTCATAGAACTCTTGTATATCTTTATGTAGTGTGTTTTTCATTCCTTTGTCACCCCTTTAAAATTGATCAACCTTAAACTTAGAAAGCTTAAAACTTTTGTGGTGGGCAATAGCCCCACTTCAATATGTTACCTATCGAGCTTACCTCGAGTCTTAGGAAATCAAAGAAGAATTAGCCACCATTGTAGCCTTATAATCATTCTAGCCTTTGGTGTAGGATTGAGGACGGGCCATTTACCCCTCAATTCTTTATAACTCTAACATAGGTTAGGTCCCATGTATTTTAAACTCTTTATAATTTAAGGATCAAAACTATAACTTTAAAATAAGATCATAATTAATTTAATCTAAATGATTAATCACTTAAAGATAAATTTTTGGGTTAATAAATTAAGCAATATGAACTCGACCTTGCAATTTAAACCCTTCATCTAAATTAGGGTAGTTAGCTAAGACTAACTTTGAACATATTTAGGTGCTGGATATGACACTTTTTGTAGATATCTTAGGGAAGGTGTAGTTAGGATAATATTTTTTTATTTCTTTTTATTTTTCACTTGCACTTGTGATGATGTGATGTTGTGTTTCTAGTTTGGATTGTTTATGCTTGTTTTATTTATTTTTTATTGATGAGTGGGCACTTGTTTTTAAGTTGTTAGACTTTTTATAGAATATCTTATGCAGGTGGTCATGTTCCCAAGAGAATAATAAAAATACTGTAATTATCATTATAAATGTGCTATCTAACAGTTATCACGAGGATTGCTAAGCCCTTGAGAATGTGGTCTTAAGGATTAGGTCTAGTTGTGAATATAAATGTTTTATTATAACTGTGCTAACCTTTATTTTGTAGAGAGCTTATGTAAGTTTTTTTTAATATGTAATTTTAGTTAGGAATGATGGGAAGGCATGTGTGTATTTTAAAAGGTAGGAGGTCAAATATGTGAAGATCGATCAAGACCCACATACCATTCAATAATATATAATTTTAGGTTGAATTTTAATTATGCTAGAGCTTAACTACCTATTTTTCTTTTTCTGGGGTGTAATGCAGAACCCAGCTGCACTTCTGGCCTCTTATTCTTTATTATTTGATGATTGATGTGTTTACTTTATTTATGCACTAGAACTGCTTTTTTTATTAAGTTTAATTGATTGTTTTTCTTAGGGGTTGCTCGAACAGAGTCTTCATGTTAGGATCTTAGGATATTAAATTTTCTACAAAAAATAAAATGTGCTTAATCAAGATAAAAGAAACATAGGGTTTCAAATTAATTAACCTGCCTTGGTGGGTCCTGGCTAGTTCTTGTTAGCGTTACCCTTAATATATAGCCTTATTTAAGCATTTAAATTTTATTTTATCACATGGAGGGATAGTTTACCATTGCATTAACATAGTACCATTCATGGTTGGGCCCAAGGCCCATTCCTCTTTTATATATCCCCACTATTCTTGCATTTGTATAAGACTGGACTGCATAAGTTTAGAACGTTAGATGGAGTTCTAGCTAGTATCCCTTTCCGAGCAAGGTGGTAAATCCAGGTCAGGGCAGCTTAGGCCCCAAAGGGATTCCAGTTATAAGCAAGGTTGTGAAAACCGGACCGGACAAAGAACCGGAAGAAGGAGAGGTTCAAGGTTCGACCGGTCGAACCGAATAATATTTAATATAATATATAAATTTATATAATTAATTTATAAATATACATCATAACAAATTTATAATACAAAATTTAAAAAATTTTGCACCCAACTAGCCCAAATTCGTGGCCCAACTAGCCCAAATTTTGGCCCAGCAAATTCAATTTAATGGCCCAATAAAGCCCAAGCTAACATAGCATTCATGTTATCATGTACTCTTTTTTAGTCCCACATCATGAAGGAGTAAGAGATAGTTGGCTTTTGGCTCTATATATAGTTCCCTCTTCTCTTAAAAAACTTGTTTCATGAGGTGATAACCATATATAATGGTATCAAAAATCTAATTATTTAATAAAAAAATTATTTTTTAAAAAAATAATGAAGTAAAATATATTATTTATATTTTATTTATCATTAAATTTTTTTTTTGAAACCGGCCGGTTCTTTCAAACCCGGACCGGTTCGCCGGTTCACCGGTTGAACCGCCGGTTCAGTCCGGTTCAGGCCGGTTCTCTGCGAAGCCGGTTTTTGAACTGGATCGGATCGGACAACTGGCCGGTTCACGGTTGAACCGGCCGGTCCGGTCCTGTTTTTAAAAGCTGGGTTATAAGTCTCCTCGTTGTCTTGTATTATCTTTGTCGAGGATGTTAGTATTGGGACTACAGTACATCCCTTGTAGATTTAGGATCAAAAGTTGGTGTTATGAGTATATCGCTACATGCCTTATCATTGGACGAGCTATTCATTCTTTGAGGCTATAAATCCCACCTATTTACATCACACTGATGACATCTTATTTCTCTCTCGCATGCTTTATGTGTGATGTCTACTCTCTTGATTCATTCCCCTTAGACCAACCGGATGATTGCGTAATCTTTGTGTGTGTTGAATAGCCCGTTGAGCCTATCTCTTTTGTATTAGAAGAATTTAGGAATCCCATTATATACCAAACCAAGAAGAGAATAGACTAAAATTCCTAATCGAAAGTTTTCTTAGATTAAGGCCTAAGATTTAATAAACCATGGGGGCTTGCGCCTATGGGAAACTGACAACTACATCAAATAAATCTTATTCGAGCTGATATTTCAAATGGAGAAAATCTCTGGACTCTTGAATCATATATGTTATTATCTATTGAGATGTGTAGGTAAAAGCTGTTAATTTTAATGGGTAATTGTATGTATGATTCGATCTGCTCTTTAATTGACCAGCTTCCATAGAGTGTAAAGGTTTGTGACCGTTTTGTCCTACGAGATAGTGCGTTCGTACTATTTTCATTATAACCCATGTGAGTAGTTACCTTTCGGAGACCCACAAGTACGAGCTTGCCCCAGTGTTGTTTAGTCTTGCTCGAGCTATTCCCGACTTGACAAGCTCGTTAAAGTTTGTCGATGAGGCAAGAGTCTTGCTCAATGCTTGGGTTGGGCAGAACTTAGTGCGACTCGAGTCCTCCTTGAGTCAATTTTAACTTACCTTGTTTACATCCCTATCGATGAAAGTATTATAGTATCTATCTTATCGTAAGAACACTTCACCAATAATGCTGACCATAGTTTGATAGTATCAAGTGAATTCCTGGTTGTTTTTGTTGTTTTTGCCTCAAACAGTTGAAGCTTTAAGCAAGAGTGTTGGAAAGTCAGTTCCTTTCATGTAATATGCTAGGTTTCTAGTTTAAACATCTAAGCTCAATGCTTTAATTAGAAAATAGGATAAATTGTTCATAGGTTGGTTATGGATAGGCTTAATCTTTTCAGGACAGGTAAGTTTTTGTTTATTTTTTTATGGATTTTTTAGATAACTTTATAACTTATATGAATCTGTTTTCCATAAATGTCTTCGTATCATATGATGCAGCCACTATTGTCTCTCTTTCTACCTCATCTTATGCTTTCAAACTTACAGGGATTGGATCCTCTTACTTCATCAATTGAATATATTTGCGCAACGGCTGGTAATGTTTTCTGAAGCCATTGATTTGCCTTTTTGGTTATACTTTTATGCATGCTATGCAATAATTTTATTTATCATATCTTACTTTATCACATATATGATTTATCAGCTGGACTTTTCCTCCCAAAAGATGAATGAATAATTCTTTTGCCAATTTTATTATGGTGGATTTACACATATGACACTCAAAACACCCCTCTTTACACATATTACACCTAATCTTTTACTAATCTACTGCTCAAATATTGAAAACATGTTAAATATACCATTCCCTCATTAACATTTAATGTTTTAATTGTTCAATAAGCAAAAAGATGGTTAGTTGACATAAACCACCAACAACAACAAGAATAAGCCATTATCCCTCTATGTGGGGTTGGCTACATGAATCTTTTCTTCGTTGTTCCTATTAAGAGTCAAATTCTCATTTAAATATAATAAACAAGGTCATTTTTAATATCTTATAACTAAGATTTTTAGGTCTATCTACGCCTTTCTTAATATAGGCCGACTCTAATACATATACTCTCATAATATGGTTATCGAAAGCACAAAATTTTATGTGACCAAATCATCTAAGGCGACTCTCTCTAGTTTTATGTACCCCTGGAGCTACTCCAATCTTTTCACGTATATATTTGTTTCACATTCTATCTTTGTGTAAAGCTACTTGTTGACGATTATTTCGTGTCGAGCCTAAATTAGGCCCGAACGAGCCGATTTGAGCCCGGCTAGCTCGATCACACTCAATCAACTTGATGGAGCGTCGTCGAGCAAAATTTAAATCAAATAGGACCCGGATTTAATCAAATTAAATTCAATTTTTCTCAAATTAAACTCAAATTAATCAAAATTGACCTAAATCGGTTCAAATCGAACACAATTGAGCCTCGTCGAGCTCTGTTGAACTAAATTTGACGTATTTTGGTGTCAGTTATAGTCCAATTTCACTAAATTGGTTTGATCGAACCCAATTTGACACGAATCCATCCAAATCAGTTCGGGTCGAGTCCAATTCACACCTAATTTTAGCCCAATTGGTCCAATCACAATCCAATTGACCTTTCCAAATCAGGTCCTGCATCCAAGGGCTGTGATTTATTTCGATTTTCAAATTTTTTCGCTGCTTTTCTGTCAAATCGTCTGAGTAGAGTGGCTACAGTAGAGATATCTCACAGAAAATTTACTCAAGAGCAAAATACCCTCGTTTCATGTGTAGAGGGAGTGAGAGATGAGAGATGAGGCCATTTGGCCTCTCTTGCTTGGGTGCGTCCTGAATAGAGCGTGAGAGGGAGGAGAGCGGATGATCTGCCCACTCTTGTTCGTGCATCCGTCCCAGAGAACCGAGAGAGGAGATTTGGCTGGGTCTCCTTGCTTGCGTGCGTACCTAAGTGAACGGCTGGGAGGGAGTCGAACAACTGAGAGCTCTCATCCACGCATGTCTGGGCCGAACAGCTTTTGCGTGTGCGTGACCTAGCTAGTCTGAACCTGCTTGTGCTCCCTTGCTGTTGTTTTCTTCTTCCTTTGACCAAAAGAGGGAAATACCTCTCTGTTTTCCTCTACTTCTCCAAGTGGAAGAGCATAGACTTACTCTTTTCCTAAAAATGACAAACCATTTCATGCATGCGCTCATTGGTTCTTCTTTGATCATACTAAAATTGATCTTAAAAACTCATTGAAGTCGTAAGAATAAATCTCTCCTATCCAAGTCTTCTAACCACGCCAAAATTGATTTAAGAATCATTTCCAATGCATTAGGAGCTCTCTAGTAGATCCTCTTTCTCATGCATGATGGTTTGGAGCATTTCATGGTTCCAAATACTTCATTGCATGAATCATTTTTAACTTAGAATCAAAATCCTTGGTTCATGTCATTTTGTTTGTTGATACAAAATCAATAAGCAATCTTTTCTCTTCCCTTTAATGCATGAACAATTTGGAGAATGCCAATGCTCCAAATATTTCATCGCATGATCAATCACTTTACTCTCTTGTTTGTTGAAACTGAAACATAGAATCAACAAACAATCACCTCTCTCTTGAATGATTATTTGGAATTTCTCAAGACTCCAAGCAATCATTGCATGAATCATTTGAGCTTGAAGCCAAATTTCAACTTCTACCTTTTTGTTGGAGCACAAAACCAAATAAATATTTCCCTCCTGTATAATATTTGGAGCCTCCTCAAGGTTCTAAATGTCATATACATGAATCATTGGAGCTTGGAACCAAACTCTAAGCTATCAACCTCTCTTGTTGAGACACAAAAATCAGCAAACATGCAATTTCCTCTCATGCATGATATTTGAAACTTTCTCAAAGTTCCAAATATTTCATCGCATGATCAAGGTTTAAAATTGCGTATTCGGGTATTGAGGCGTTTTTCGTTCGTGAGGCGAGGCGTAAGCCTCAAGGCGATTTGAGGCGTAAGCCTCAAAATCAAAAAAATGCGTAAACATAAAATAATAAATTTTATATATACTAATGAGTAAATAATATATAAAACATAAAAATGCTACTTACCACATCTTTAAGAATAAATAAGGGAGACATATCACATAAGAACTTACTTGTCATCAGCACTGTCATCACTCATCAGTCATCAGCACTGTTATCACTCATCAGTCATCACTAAGGGGGTCTTCATTTGAATCATCATTATGATGAACTGCTCTCTCTTCTTCCCCCTCTCCTATAGAGTCCAATATCTCCCAATCAGCTTCTTCTTTCTCATTATTAGTTATTTTTCTATTCCCTAAATATTTTTGAATAATATCATAATGAATAATAGTGTAATACATTAATAAAAGTCTAAAAAAAAAACTATATTATTTATATACCTTTTTTGATTTGTTCTTGAGTTGTGGTGGATGTGGATGCTTTAAGACCATAAAAGAAATCAACATTTAAATCTTCATCTTGTAATTCAGACGGCATCACTTCAACTTCATCATCTACAAACCACTCATCATCAGATGCCACGACATCGCAAAGCAAATGATCTTCATCATCCATTAATCCTTTTTTTTTCAAATTTCTATATCTGAGTCTCCTATTGTACATAATGTACACCAGTGAGTTCATCCTCAATGTCGACAAGCGATTTCTCCTCTTTGTATGTACTTGGTTGTAGGTATTCCAATTTTTTTCACAGACAGATGAAGAGCATGTCAATCCCAAAACTTTCACAGCAAAATATTGTAATTCTGGAGTCCCATCACCAAATTGAATCCACCACTCAACTGTAGATCGTTTGGCAATTGTATCTTTTGCTTATTGTAATCCAAAAAAACCTTCTTTGTTCCTAAAAGGTACTAATTGTAAGTCAGCATTTTATCTTTCAGTTGCATCACTTATTAGACGATCCATGCAATGATATAATCCCAACTTTATTTCAAGGTTTGTAGACTTGTTCTCTGCATATTGATATTGAGGGTTTAGGTAGTAGCCAACGGCATGCAAGTGTCGGTGAAGCTGTAGTTCCCACCTATCATCAATAATATTCCAAATTTCCCTAAAGGTTACCTCACTGCATCCTAAGTTGGAGGCAATCATCTCTTTGACTTCATCCATGGCATTGTAGATGAAACCCATTGCAGTCTTCTTCTCAGCATCCACCATCCTTAAAACATGAACTAAAAGTCTAGTGGTTTTAATGGCATATAAGACACTTTGCCAAAATTTGTCATTTAAAACAATCTTTCTAATCTCTTTTCCCTCAGCCTTCTTCGCCCAAGCACAACTCAACCACTGTGTAGATATGAACATAGCCTCTAAAGGTTGCCTAGCATCCAACATGCTCTCTAAGGTCAAGTAAGCGGTGGAAAATCTTGTTGCGGCTGGCCTTAGAATTTTTTTCTTCGAAAACTCTCATAAGAGCTAGAACCTAAGAGTGGTTGTAAATAAACTTGATTATTTTTTTTTGTTTTAGTGAGTGCATTTTTATGTTGAGGTAGCTCCCCAAGCTTTTCAAGAATCAGATCTATGCAATGTGCAGCACATGGAGTCCAGTACAAATATTTTCTCTTATCTATAAGTTTATTACCTGCAGCTTTATAAGAACTTGCATTATCTATCACAATTTGTACAACCAAATGTTCTCCAACCTCATTAATAATGCTATCTAATAATCCAAATATGAACTCAGCATTTTTGACCTGATCAAATGCTTCAATTAACCTTAAAAACACAGTACCATAAGGATTATTAATGAGGATGTTGATCAGACTTCTATGTTTGATATCAGACCACCCATCCGACATAATTATTACTCCTGTTTGGGCCCAAGTCTTCTTAATTTCTTCGATGCTTTTATCAGTGCTTAACAACTCCTTCAAAATTCATGTTCTTAAACGAATCATGTTGTAATAAGCAGGTGATTTTGCAACATTAAATGGAATTATATTTTCATAGAAGAATCTGCCTATATCCTTACACACTTTTCTCCGCGTCTCTCTTGCATTTTTTGGGGCCATCTTCTGTGTAATAGAAGGCCTATCCTCTGATGTGTCATTCATATAATGATCCATAGGCCCTCTAGCACCCCTAGATGAAATGGGCTTCATAGAAAAAGATGAATCCCTAACACTGTGCTCACTCCCGTAGTAAAATCCAGCATCAACTCTATCCTCAAATTGCTTCTGTGCAAGATATTTTGATGTGGTAGACTTATTCATGTATGACTTTATCTAATCCCTTACAGCATCTGGAACTTTGGAGCATGGAGCAACATTCTTGTGAGAACCTGAAAGGTGTTCTTTCTTCCTAGTCACACCACCTTTCACAAATTTATCATAGTAATTATATTTTAGATATACATGTTTTATCACTGCCTCCTACATCCACATGAGTGCTATGTTTTCATGCTGGATCTTCTCTATGACCTGATGCAGTTTTATCCTTATTTCTAACCATTCTGATTGAGCAAAAAGAGGAAGTGAACGAGTTCTTACTAATCTTTTCTATGACCTGATGCAGGTCAGAGGAGACAGAAGCGGGCAC